ATTTGGGAAACATAGTTCAAACAAAGAAAGAATAAACAAATACACTTTAAACAGAGGCTATCACCAAGAAATGGAGAAAATGGAACATGGTGGTGGGTGACGGTCTAGGCCATAGCCCAGATGCAGGAACTCTGCAGGGACAGGGCAGTCCTGGGCTACAGGGGGCTATAAGGGGTACTGTGGTTCTGCCTCCAAAAATGTGCAGGGCTCCAAAAGCAGCTGCTGTCATGTTGATGTGCTGAAGTGCTGACACCATCACATGTGGATAAGGGCCTTGGGGCTTGTTTTTTCCAATAAACAAACCATCCATTTAACAAAATCAGCAAAGTAAAAAGCTATAAAAGAAAATATCTTTGATTTCCAAAGAGCCCTCTTCTTTCCTCTCCCTTAACATGCCTAGGCAGAAAAACAGAGAGCCTTCAGAGCCAGGGGAAGCTTCAACCTGGGCAAAGTTAGAGTTAGCACACACAGCAGGACAAGGACTCACACAGGGAGTTAGGGCAAGAGAGATGGCAGGTGTGTGTGCTGTCTGGGGCAGGCCCTGACCACTCCCACTGCCAGCATCAACTCGTCCTGGCTGCCTGGCTTCACACAAATCCTCCTCCAGTCCCAGCACTGTCTGTACTTGCTCCCACTTCAGTGAGGATCACAGAGACCAGAGACCCTTCCCAGCTAAACATTCAGATGGGAAAACAGAACCCTGACAGCCAGAACTAAAGCCACCTTGCCGTGATGGGCAAGTAGGTTCCCTTCTGTTGTGATCTTCCAAGCCCATTCAGGCTGGCACTGGGATTCTCCCAGCAATCCAGGTGTGGTTGGCTAAGATCTCTTGGGCCCTAATAGCTGACAAGGGTGGTCCAGGCCCATGGCCCGTCAACAGTCCCCCAGGAGCCACGGACACACCCAACAGTGACCAGCCCCAAGACTGAGTACCTCATGCCCTTAGGATGAGGAGTCAGGAGAATCTACGCTCTCTCTCTGCTTTTAGTACCACAGGGCTCAGTGGAGTTGCCCAGGTCCACTCACACCCCTGCAAACAGGCACACCCCAGCTTGTGGGCTACATAGGTGGGGGTAGCAGGGGCCTGCTGCTGAGGAGACCTCCAGTGCTGGGTGTGTGTTGGGGGGTCTCATGGGCTGTGCGGGGGGGGCCCCAACAACACTCCTATGAGTCAGCAAGTCAAAGATAATCATTTTTTTATTGTAAAAGAAGGTGTAAGATTAAAACATAGAACATTATGGCTTGGTGCCTGTGGCTCAAGGGGCTAAGGCGCCAGCCATATACACCTAAGGTGACGGGTTCAAATCCAGCCCG